AAGCAAAAAGTCAATTGCTTGTAGTTGTTAGTTTAATGGCTTCTTAGGCTTTTTGTCCCACATCCACTTTGCTCAGTGAATTTGCACGTTCGAGCAAGAATACACTTCTGAGTCGCTACAAATGAATTCTGTCTTTCGTATAACTGCTTTTTTTCTTCGTGAAGCTCTGTAGTCGTGCGAACAACTTGCTTAATCAGGCATTTACAGAGGAAATATGGCCTAATTCGGTGTCAATTGAACGTTCATAGTGGATTAATGAAGACTTTGAGCCCGAATGTTTGCGAGATTTGGAGAACTATTAAATATTGACACATCCCTGACGTTGAGCACTGATTTGGCTACGCATTTTGCGAAAATAATGTCTGCTTTCAACACTAAGCTAACCTTTCTCATCTCATATTGGGCTTTATTGACATATCACTAATCAAATGAGTTAAATATGACTCCCGTGACACCGGGGGAGATGGACGAGGTGAAAAATTGGTAGCAGACGTGTCTCTTAGGATAAAAACAGTACTGCCAGCGCAACTATTATATAAGCCAAATATTCGTCCAATCGCCTCTAAGGTGCTGAATGGAGTGAAATCTGTGGCGTGTCACTAAAAAACTGATCAGTGCCGAAAACTTTTATTTAACTGGAGGTTGTTGAATGATGTGCGCTCCGATTTTGCCTAGCTTTTGTTTAAGATTACCGATCTCTCATCATCGTAAAATTCAAGTCCAGCTCCATGCTGAGAACTAGTGTCTTCCTACTTGTGTTACTACTGAGTTGCATCATTAGGTACTTTTTATATAGAGAACATGTAGCACTGTACTTAGAGGTGCCCTAGCAAACACACGTGGTCCTTGGTTCGATCTGATAATCCGGGCTTATCATGCATTTCATCCTTTCGAGTTCGGCGGATAGGTGCCAGACTTTTCTCGAAGAGTAGAAACACCGATTTGATATATCTATTGGCCTCGATAAGGAATTTTATAAAGCAAATATGCATTCAATTGCTTCAACGCTGCTTGGACTCTTCATCTTTTTTATCTTCGATGTAAATACACCTAGAACGTTGTTGAGTAATAACCCTTCAAATTCAGCGTAATCGAGACAAATAAAATATTTTGGATCTCACAAGTGAAATATGAAAAGCGAGACAGGCCAAACGAAGGACATGGTGTGGTGGTGAACGTGTTACTCATCGGAAAAGACGATAGCGCGTTCGTTCCCCACCGTAGACACCTGTGGTCCAGAGTTTTGCAAATATTTCAGCAACATTGTGGTTGAAATATGATAGTTTACGCTGTTAGACGACGGTACGATAACTGACTTCCACCCGTACGAATTTCCTTGCGTCAAATTTCATGGAAAAAATAATGATTAAAATCGTCCGTATTTTCTAGCAGTTATTTTAGACAGACGCAGATACTACCGAGGAAACTTGGAATTGGTGAGTGTGGCACAGTGGTCAGAGGCGCCCTACAATACACATGGGATCGATTCCAGCTCCACTGCCACACCATGCCTTCTATCCCTATGGGGTCAGCAAATTGGTACCAGACTTGTTGGGAGGGTAGCAGCACTGGCTCGATACATCGGTAGGCCACTACAACTCATCGTAAAGGCCAGACATGCATTCAGTCACCTCCAAACGATGTTTACTGAAAGTAGAATGTATAGCATATTCCTAAGGTATTGATCAAGGCCGAGAACTTTACCCTTTTTTATCTTAGAGTGTTAGTTCCGAAGTTTGTCTTGCTTTTATGATCTTTTGGTTTTAAGAATCAAATCAGGATTTTAAGAAACTATGTAATGCCATATTATTTTTGTCTACATGTTCATCATATCTCCCGTCATCTGATGTTTTCCTCTTCTGCTAACGGAGAAATGAGCCTCCAGACCAACTACAAGTTGTGCATTCCCCATTTGGAGACAAAAGGAACAAACAAGATTTTGTTTTGCCACGGAATTTAGGCGAACTCTACTGTTCTTTCAAAGTCTTGTTTCTTCTGCAAAAGCAGTGCTTGTCTTTCTTTCCTTTTTTCGCCAGTTCAGATTTTATGCAATAAACAGTTGATAAAGGCGATCTAATCAGCGCTTTTGCTATGTCACTATCCATGCCCATTACACTCTCTGTCACATTCGTCAATGAAAAGAGATGAAAGTGTTGAAGAGTTAGCGATTGGAAAGCAAGTGAGAATCTCAGTTTTTTTTTAAACCGTCGTATCGGACTCATTAAAGTACAGTGGAGTAAGAGGCTGACTGACGAAAAGTAGATGTATCTCGCATCCATGACAACGGCGACGTCGGAATGAGGACACTTCTAATAGGAAAACTACCTTCTTCCAGGACAGGCTAGTTGTTAAGGGAGCCAATGGCTTAGCTGTGAACTAGATCATTCAAAGCTATCGCCGCTGGCATCGATATTTTGGATGTTCGAATATGTCAGTATTTGACAATCCTTTTTATGGAATGCTTTGGAGTAGAACGAATGTAACTAGATAAATATCTCGTTTTCTTTTTCAGCAATCGCGCGCTTGTTATTCAGCACATGTTTACTTTCTTACAAAACCGTTTTTAAACCGTCGTATCGGCTTGCGTATGCTGTTGAAGGGTTTGCTCTAGTCAGTTGGGTAACAGTGTACCCTTCCAGGCTCTAAAGAAGGCGATACTGCCGAAACGTCAGCTACCGTTGTGTTGTATCTGTTTTTCTTGTAAGGAGTAAACGTGTGGTGAAAAACAATCTCGCATTTGCTGAAAATGAAAACGAGATATTTATAATCCAACTAGATATTTGAGAATTTCTAATAAATATAAAGTGTAAATGAAGAACATTCGGTCTTAAATACACTCTGTTGGATTTTTTTTTCGTGTAGAGCAGATTCTTTGATTTAGAGCAGGATTCCTGTACAAATCTTCCAAAGAAGAAGGCAAATTACTATCGTTTCTCTCACTTTCGAGGCCATCTTTGACGTTGGAGACCAATAGTTTTTAACAGGTCATCTATTGGTCTTGTCACTCGTTTTCCTAAGTTTTGGATTACTGTGAAGGCTTCGATATTTCTTGTACTGCTACAATAAACAGATCTCTTTTTAACGTAATACCTTAATTCTCTCAATACAACTAAAATCGACGAATAGAGATTATAGGCTTTTCTGCCTCCAAGAAGTAGTGCTGGCCAAATACTTCTTAATTAAATACGATCTTAGAGCATGATCTTTAATCGTCCTCGCCTATTTCGTAGAATAGCGGATCTAGCAAATTTAAAGGACGAAGCCACAATATTATCCATTCATGAGCTCTGTGACTGTTCTGCAGCACTCGTACTTATCGATAAAACCATACTCAATGCTGTCTGCTCTGCTAACACTGCTTATAACCTGGTTTTTCTGCGTGTGATTTAGCTTCATTAATGTGGTGAGCCATTTAAGATCTGTGAAAATGAAAAACACAGTTTATTGAACGATCTATGCCAAATGCAACAGTTCTAATTTACCTCCTTCATTTTTTCTATTCTGAAGAAGAAGTCTACGGGATATACCATGAAGTCATTCTTTCTAGCTTGATGGATGTTAATCACGGTGTGGTTTTTCCACATGCAGTGTGATAAGAATTCGAAATTGAGTCCACCTAAATTTTCCGAAATTCTTTTGGTTTAATTAATGGAGATGATGATGAGAGGCTATTCGTTTTGGTCTGGAGAAAATTCTGGCCCGATTGAAAGCCCCGACATTGGTAGCCTTGCCCAATTTTTCAAGCGATTTTTCTTTGCAGCAATTTCTTCCGCATTTGAAACCTCGTTGGTTTTGCATCTTTATTGTTTGCAGATGGGACAGCTACCGTAGTCAATCGAAGAATCGAAAGAAGTCCTCTTTAAAACGCCGAACGGATACGAGCAGATCTAAATACAAAATCATCAAATGAAAAGAAACGGATAAGAGTTGGTAACAACAGTGAACTTCCGGATTTTTGACAGACTGCAGCTTAGGTAGCAGTCGGGAGTCGAGATTTGTTAGGAATTGGTTGCTGTGCATCCATTTTTCGCAACACCAACTAAGCCATTTTATTTACGGACTTGCTGCCGTTTAACATCTGCAAGCCTTTCCCATCCTAGTGCTTGCCGAGCGAGCAGTGAGGTCATACTACTTTTCAAGGCAATGTTGTGAAACCAATGGCTATTCGTGCAACAACTAGTCCATTGATACCATAGCACTTAAGACTTTATCGCCAAGTTTTAATCAACCTGTTTAGAAGCCTACATCTGTGGGTAAAATAAGAAAGAGCATTCTTTATTATGTTTTTCATTGCCTCTCTATTTTGCATTTTTTCGCTCCTCACAAAGTGGTTTGGATAGTATTTCTTTTCTTTTATCCTGTCTTACCTGCTCCAGTTTAGAAGGTTTGCATGGATGTAAAATGGACTTGAAGATAGCAATTGGTGAAGATGAACGGCTAACGTGACGTTAAGCGTTTTCAAAGACAATAAATTCCAGATGAGGGAGCCCGCTATGGTTATGACTGAGCTGTAGTGTTAATTTGATGTTGTACTAATTATTTAAACAAATATGGTTTCAAACGTGAAGTTATGAAGTAACCCTGTTGAATCCTTATAATAAAATCTTTTGCAATTGAATGCACAAAAAGAATACTGAGGAGTTCAAGTTAGCCTCGGTGAAGGCGTTTCCTAATTTTCTGACTCTCCTAGAAAGTGAAAATAACAGGCGTCGCACTCATTGTTGACGGAAACACTGCAGCCAGTTGGGAGGTGAGAGGGATTAAAATAAAGTGAAAATAACAACGACAAAGTGATCCACAAAATCCATGTTCCTTCGAGAATTTCGTCAAGCAATATGAAAACAGGAGAAGATCTGGGATAATCCAAGGGTAAGATTGAACCAACTAATGTGCGGGAACGAGTAGACACTTAATGGTACTTTACTCACGGATTATCCTAACCTGCACTTATCATGGTTATCGTTTATCAGTGCACGACATTTTTTACGAGCTATTTTTAGGTCTCATTACCGCACTACACCTCAACGAAATTTCTGAGTGAGGCCGTGAAACGATACATTCAGTTCCTGCTTCTCAAGCAAACATATTCGGATCAATTTCTCACACCCTGCTATGACTTCGATATTGTCTGGCACACTCATCAGGTACATAGCTCGCATTCCTCTTTTGTTCATTTGGGCATCTATCTCGATCGCGTTATTTGAAATAGAATTTTTCCCTTAGATTGTGATTCCATTAAGTCGTTGTTGAGTTGCGTATTCGCCTCTTGGGTTGTTTCTATTTCACAGAACACCGTCGCAAAATGACATTTCGGCCGTAGTGCATTTTCGAATACGTCGTGTTCTCGTTGGAAAATAATAAGCTTCGGCTGTTTTTTTGTCGCTTTCGACGATGCACAGCTTAGGCCGTCGCTTGGGCAGCATTTTATGGACTCATTTCTTTTCCGTGGCAGCTAGAGTCTCCGGCAATTTGCCTCTTACTAGAGAACATCCCACTCTTTGTCGAACAGTCTCTGCCACATTCGAGGGCTGAATTTATACTGTCGTAGTTAGAAATAAAACAAAGTAGGAAAAATGAGTGTTAAAAATAAATCTAAGTTTATAGTGTTGATATTTTTTGATCCACATTCGCAAATGAATGGATGGGCCAAGTCTGGAAGAGTTCCAAAGCGCTGCTTCAGCCTAGTGTCTCTACAATGACTAACAGACAAATGGCTTGTTAAGTCGGAATTACTTCCCTCTGTAAATGGCAGCTTTTTCAAACACTATATTTTCTATCGCTTTTCATTTACTAAAAATTGCAATCATTCCCAATATTTCAAACACTATGTTTTTTATTGCATTATTAGTAATAACAGTGGTATTTCTGTTAATGTTTATTGTTATCTTCAGTGGTGCTGAGATATTTGCAAAACTCCGGACCGCAGGTGTCTGCGGTGGGAAACGATTGCGCTATTGTCCTTTCCGGGGGGTAGTGCGTTCACCACCACACCACTCGGGTCCTTCGTTTCGCCTGTCTCTCAGCTAGTTCTATCGATCTTTTGCCATCAGCAATCACCTGTCAGCGGTATTGATCTGGTGGGCCCAAATCGTCAACGAACCCAGTTCAGCTGAAGCCGCAGTTATAATCACAATTTCAACTTATTATTCACTGCTTACTCTTTTTAACGGCAGGGTATTCATTGTGAAATGTTTTGTTTATTGTTATCATTAGTTATCGTCACCATCATTATTGGCGTCTCTACTATTAATCGATTATAATTGGTATTATTATTGTCAATATTAAACTGAGCTGAGATACAAGCGAAACGAAGGATCGGCACAGTGTGGTGGTGAAGGCGTTAGCCCCCGGAAAAGGTAATAGCGCGGTCGTTCCCCACCGCTGACACGGGCGGTCCGGAATTTTGTAAATATCTCAGCATCTTTGTGACTGTATTTCGCATGATACTCTGTCGTGGAAAGTTGTAGTAAGAAGCAAATAAAAAGTAAACATTGTCAATATTCTTAAATTATTGCGCGCTTCGAAGCACATGGCATCGTTAGGGCGGTGATTCGATCCCGTGCCAAATTCAAACCAAGCCGTCCACCCTTTGGCGTTAGCAATACGTATTCACTCACCACTACATCGTTATGAATGAAGTCGAATGCATGGGGAATCCCTAGGCGTTTGATAATCGCTTAACTTTTCATTATTATCTCTCATTACTGTTCTTATTATTACTGTTATTAACAGTGGTAAAGGGAAGCAGTTCCGGTATTTGTAGTCCTTGTTCTTATTTGCTTTTTCTTATTCATAACGTAGGTTAGAATGCATTGAAAACAGCGATGAATAAACAAATTCGTCAACGAATAATAAAAGGGGTAACATTTTTGTATCACATTGACTGACCAAAGTTTGAGGGTCGTATTGAAGTCATAGTTTTATACTTAAAGTGTCGAAGAAGTTTTGCCAAAGCCTCATCGATTGCAGGTGCACCCACTGAACTATCTGCGTGATTGCACAGCAATCTTCGGCTCGTTGTTGAAGCACGACGATACGGTGAACGATAGGACGAAAGGCAGCAAGCTGCTGAAAGGCGAGGCGTTGACGAAGAAGCTCTGGGCAACGCATTTTGACGAACCGTTCTGGAGGCGAGGGTGTATGTTCAGGTAAGCAGCCATAGCGAAATCAGTTCTATGAACCAGGTAGCGTTTGTATGTTCGACACACAGGAAAAGGCGAGTATCTTTTAAGCAACACCAAGTCGCAGGAGTTTGAGCGAGGGCTTGCAAAGCAAAGCTTGGCGAGACAGACGTTTTCCCTCGTAACATCTAGTGTCACTTTGTTGTGCAGTCAATCTTTCTATCTTCCCTTCTGGGCCACAGTACGAAATTTTGTAGGACCACGCCGCACTTTTTGTCCTGCGTTTCTGTACTTCATTCAGCATAATTCTCGTTCCTGAAAGCTGATGCTAGAACGGTGATCGAAAGGCAATTCACCCTCACCCGAGGAGTTGACGCAAATCTTCAATAGCAATGTGGAATGCTTTAACTCACTTCTCCTCGTAGGGACCCTGTAGTGTTCGTAGTGATCTAGACCAAACGACCTTATGGACACCGTAGCGTCCATATCGAGTTTAGTGGGTTCTATGCTTTTTTAACTGAAGTATGTATACTGGTTCAATAGTTAATAAAAAGCAGATCAAAACAGTATGGATTATACCAAGAAAGCCACACCTAGTGGCTAAAAAGAAGCTTTTTTTTGAGAAAGTTCATTGACGGCTAACTCGACTAACAATTAACTGTTACAATCACAACGATGCTGAGATATTGGCAAAACTTGGACCTCGTGTCAAATCGAGCCATGCGCATTACACACTGCGTCACAGAGGCCCTTGCTATGAGTTTCTCTCAGACAGTTTTCTATCCAGCGCTGCTATCAGCAATCACCCTACCTTGAGGTTATTTTATAGAATGTGTGGGTGTAAAAATGCTGAAGTAGACTCGACTGGAAATTCCTTCTAAATGCAGGCACCAATATATTTGCATAGTAGACGACAGTAACACAGTTAATATAGCACACATATCATTGATACCCGCAATACGACAGAGCAAAGTCTCTTCTACCATCCTTTTATGTTCCGCACCCCTCGAGTCATTCACCTATTGAGAAAAGTTTTTTATTCCGTCGAAAATTTGAAGTTAAAAAAATTCAATTTTTATTTTGTCAAAAAATCAGAAAGTCCGCTGCACACGAATAATTGAGCGTAGTTCGTCGGGCCAACCACGAAATACGGTAACCGGTGTAAAAAAAGTTGTCAATTGTCAATTGTTAAGCAACTATTCGCCGAGAATTCTGACCTATGAGAAAGTTGCGTGCCGAAGATCTGAAAACTCTCTTGAGTCTAGCGATGAGATTTACAAGGTTTTGAAGTGATTTTCGATTTTAAACATCAATTTTGAAATGCTCAGAGTTGACGCATTGACAACTTTAGTACTAAGAAAAAAAAACTCGTTGAAACCTATACATTTCCGCTAACGAGTCACAAGTTTATCTACTCCGATAGCTTAGAATTCTGATGTTTGGAAGCAACAATTTATTTTAAGGCTTGTTTTGCTGCAGTTTAATTTTTGAAAGCTGACATGTATCGAGATGTTCAAGGAAAAAGGTAGTTGGTTAGTGGGATCTCCGATAAGTCTAACGGATAAGGAACCGTTTCGTCCTTCACTTTGTTAAACTTTTGCAAGCTTAGCTGTGTAGTCAATGTACGGTAGATTGTTTTCGTGTAAAAGGAGTAGACTTTTATATTGATCATACCTCGATGCATGTTGTACTTTTCATAGGACTCATCAATTATAAGACAGTATTTCTCTCTTGATTGTCTTTTTCAGGATTCAATGTGTTGTATTACTTTCTTCACTAAAAGCGAAACCGTCTTCTGGATCCAAGTCCCATCGCCAATAACAATGCGATCGAGAGATTGCTCATTTTTATTGTGTAAAGGAAGCGCAGGCCAAACTTGACGGCGACTTCACCGCTATCTGTTCAATTCATTTTGCACGCATTCACGCATTCGCCGGCTTCTTTCACATTTCTAATCTCTCATATGTAAGGCGATTCAACGTTTTTCTTCAATAAGCAGACACGAGGTTGTTAATATAGAATTTATTAGAATACAATAGCTGACGTTTCGGCGGTTTCGCCTTCTTCAGAGCCGTTTATTTGTTGCAAGTATTCAAGTTGGTTGATGGATTGCCGCCGCACAGTGTAATACATGGGCGAAAACTGATATAGCAAACATTGAATTATCAATTAATGCCGATGTTAACAGAAAGTCAGTCACGAAAGGCGATTGTTATATGGATTTCCTTCTTGAGTCAACACAAGGTTGTTGATATAAGCCTTATTCAGCTCTGGCTAATTTGCGGGTTTGTTTTCCTCCGGGCCTGAAAGATCGAATTCTTCTCCATTAAACACTTATATACGAGACGCAGGAGCGACTATCATGTCATCACCCGTGTTCTCGCCCTATACCTTAGAGCGATTTTTTGACGTTAGCCAGGCGCACTCCGTACCCATGTAAGACTCTGTGCAGACAGAAGGTAGAGGACTTACAAAGAACGAAACTGTGAGTGTTTAATAGAGGATATTATCCTTAGGATTAAAATTTATGTTTCGATTTTTTTCTGAGGTTATGAAAGTGTTTGACTGATTGCTTATCAGTTGACCATGAAGAAGACGCAATCGCCGAAACATTAGCCACTGTTCAATAAATCCTGTATTAACAACCTCGTATCTTCTCAGAAAGAACGTATTATCTCATTGGTCAATGCCTAGGTTTACAGAGCATCAGTCTTGAGAGGATTGTTGTTTTGTGGTTCTTGAGTATGAAAAACCCATGAAGCTGTCTTGGAGCTGTGCCTTTCTTACCTTCCTTCTTGTTTTGGATTGCAATTCGAACTGCATCTAGAAGAGTCCGGAATACAGAGATTTCTGCTTTGCACTTTTTAAAGAAGAAGAAATCCTTGAGCAGGAGCCAGAACAACACGAGCAATGTTCGAGGACCTTTGTGGAAGAAGAATGCGAGGAAAACGAATAGAATGCAAGAGGTACCGAGATCCGCACGGTAGATGTAATGATGGCTCATGCCAATAAATAAGCAAATAAACTTCAACACCATACATGATATAATATAGCGATACCAAATTGATATATAGGAAAAGAAAAAGTGCTTTGCTTGTGTTTTAACCAGATCATTCTCAACTTCTTTTTTATGTTTTCCCTCCTAGAGAGCATCTCAACGGAAGCAAACAGGTTTCACCGCAGGCGCATAACCAAATCGTAGCGTAAAGTTGTCGGCGTTGCTGCACAACTTCTACAATTCTAGTGGTCCTCGTCGGCGTTTGACAATAGACCACGTTACAATAGATGTGTTGCAGTAGAGTCGAACTTCATTTTTCTTCTTTTTTCGTGGAACTCCTTGGTGGTGATGGTCATACGAACTGAGCTTCTTGTGTTTGAGGGACTAAGACGAGTTTAGTAGAAGCTTTAAGTGCTTCTGCAAGCAGCCGTAGTTTTCGATCGGGATACCCTTAATATACCAGTCAAATGAGAAGAGGATTTCATTGGTATTCTTTTCATCATATATGACTTGTCTTCTTCTTTTTAGGTAATACCAAGAGTTCTTTTCCGAACTATGGCTGCAAAGAGAAGGTAGTGAACAGATCGAGTACAATGAATGTCTCACGGAGGTGTCAAAAAGGCGTCGAGCGTTTGTGTGTGGGAACGCGATCGAGCTCTGCATGAGTTGTGTCTTTAGGAGACTCCCTTGACATGAGAATAGGCCTGTGAGTTGGTAGTACTTCATATAAGATTGTGCAATCGGTAACAGGTCGACGAAAGGCAAGACTAATGTCACCGACACTTTGTGACGGAATTTTTCCTCTCTGAATGACAAATGTCTCGTCATCTAATTGGCATATATCGATCTTTCTCCTTTTGATTTTACGGGACTATCGAATGGAAATTGATTCGACCAGCAGCCTCAAGAAGATCGTAAAGATTGGCGTTTGAGAAGACTGTTCTCGTGTTATAGATGCAGAACAAGAAATACACTCCATGGCATATCATGGGCGTGTTCGTTCAGTTGGACTTCAGTAACATTCGTGCAATCGTGGTTATATAAACAGAGTTTATCGTTGTCATAGTGGTTGTAGTTCACATCATACGCTGCCTTAGAAAGTAATATTAGTTAGCAAATAAAAAGTTGAGCACAGTTTATCGTTTGTCGGGGGCAAACGTGTCGCCATGAATTGACATCAACACACAGGAAGTGCAATGAGAAGTCGGGGATCAGTTGGATGTGGCGGTGACACAGATTTGGGCGTTGGACTGTGACGATTAATGATCCAATTAAAATAATGGAACATATGGAATTAAAGATACTAGCATAAGAACCACGATATTGCGATATTGCTTACTTGGAATTAACGATGAAATCCATTAAAATGGAGTATATTAAGGAAGAAGGATGTAGGGATGTTGATGCAGTTGTTGAGTTAATTGCTTTGGAATTAGCATTACACGAGAAATCGAGCCTCAACCGTCAGAGACATTTCTCAAACTATCTATTATTTAGTGGGTAGAATTGACTGTGCGAAAGTTCTAAAGGAGAATTAAGTTCATAGAATAGTAGGGTGCAGTGTATAATGAGTAACTAAATTTACCAAAGAACGTAGGAACATAGTCATTTCAGTTGTGTTGCAAATTTTGTTGGGAAGATCAGTTTTCCTTTTTTTAAGAGGACATAACGCACCGGTGTTTCTGGGATTCGAAAATCAGGATCTGTCGAATATCGCCTACGGCGACGTGCACGTACCGTCGATCGCTTTAAAGGATATACCAGTTCAGCGAGATCAATTGAGGTGAGCCACGTGCTAGCTTGAAACTATTTTACCAGTCTTCCATTTTGAAGTCGTTTATCCTGCTATTTTGCATGAGTCAATTTTCATTGAAGCTCCGAAACTTGGGATTTGATGACATTATATGTATAATTTGTAAGCATCGAGTGAACTAAGCGAGCATCAGCAAATCGCTAACTAATTCCGTTCGCGCGTCGAACATGCTTGACACGCCACGCTCACTGGAGAGATAGACAATATCACACTTTTTTGCGGATGTCTCTTTTTACTGCTCTTGACGAATTTATAGCTGCGAGTTTTGCTCAAGGCTTTAGTTTGCTATGAGCTTACTGAATATAGGTTGAACATCCTGGTTGAAATTTCGGGCTTTACAGCTTGGGCACCTTGTCGAGGCTGAACTCTTTACTGCACATTCTATTTCGACCTAGAAGCAGTACCGTATTTTGAGACGGCAAAGTGTTAAGAAGGAATACACAGCATTGTGTGAAAATCAAATGTAGACTGCGAAAGATTTTTACTCGTTTTATTCACACTTAAGTTCTTTGGATGAATTTCAATAAAAACTGATTGTAATCAGTACGTTCTATTCATGAGCGCTTACATGAGGTCGTCACCAAAAACACTTATTTGTGGCTAATGTTTCGGTTCTGATTCAATCGTTGCGGCTTGAAAGAAGTCGAAGGCGCCCAAGCAGCTATAGTAAAGAGTTTTTGGCAGCGACCTCGCATATGGTCATGAACGTGGCTAAATGTACTTCACTCGGAGGTTAAGTGGAAGCCGGCTTTGGAACATTATTATGATCAATCTTCAAAATCTCAATTATATTGAATTTTCTTCATTGACCAAGAGCACTGTGTGAATTCAGCTTGGTCATTTGGAGTGCTCATCAAAAATAAGTGTTGTTTAGGCTTAAACTGGTTTATGGCAACAAGAAAGTGACTACATTCAATGCTGACTTGTCACAAAAACAGGTACAATGAGTGTTTTCTGGCTTTTTCTGGAAAGCACACCAATACATATTACCTGTGTCATCTGTGCAGCCGTTATTCGTGGGCGAATTGCTTGTACGGAGACAAGCGTGGTATCCACTTGTCCACATCGTGTGCGGAGCTCTGTACCTAGGATACAAATAGACAGCGATATATGTTGTCTTGAATTTTATGTATTAATGTGTCTAGCTGAATTATTGTGGTTAAAGCTACATTTCCTGTCCTCTTAGTGCATACTGCCGACAGTCGGCAGTTACACCATCTTCGCTTTGCTGATGACATCGTCCTTATAACACCAAACGTTAGCCAAGCGGAACGTATGCTTGACGACTTTGATAAAGTTTGTGGAAAGATTGGTCTTCAACTAAATCTCACAAAAACGATGTTCATGAAGAACGGATTGGTCTCGCATGCCACATTCACTCAACGGCACGAATATCTCTGAATACTCCAGTTATATCTATCTAGGTCGTGAAATCAATATGATGAACGACCCAGCTCCAGAGCTGAGCAGAAGAAAACGAGCGGCTTGGGGAGTTTTCAAGAGCATCGAAAATGTAGTGAAGAGAACAAAGAACACCCGACTCCGTATCCACCTTTTCGACTCAACAGTACTTCCTGGCCTAATATATGCGTCAGAAACCTAGTCGCTGTGTAAGCAGGATGAAAGGTCACTCAGCGTTATCGAACGTGCAGTCGAAAGGACGATGCTAGGAGTATCCTGTTCCACACAAGCAAGGAATGGGATCCGAAGCTCTGATCTGCGTCAACGATCAAGAATCAAAGATGCTGTTCTGTACGCCAAACAGTCCAAGATAAGGTGGGCCGGACACGTAATGCGTATGAATGACAACCGATGGACAAGAGCCGTTAGTAACTGGATTCCTTGGGATGCCAAACGTACTGCAGGAAGACCACCGACCCGATGGTCAGAGTTTTCACAAAGAGCCTAGAAGAAAGATATTATGCTCGACGAGTCTCTAGAGCGAGCAGAACCCACTGGGCTACTCTTGCACGCGAAAGGGAAAAATGGAAGATTTACTGGCGCCTGCTTGAGTCACTCGACGATCAACAGGACTACAGGTGACAGGTGACAGGTGTCATAAATGCTAAATTTATTTGCTTGGCAATCGAGCGAGTGGCAGTGAGGTAGTAGTGCTGGTTCGTTCCTGCCCCGTGTTCACCATCCTGTCGCCCCTCCCGGGCAGGAAATGCCTACCAGAGTTGTCCGGGGGAAGTTGATAGTGGTCCAATTGGGAACGCTATAGCATGGTTACCTCTGGGCTCCAAGGTGAACAAATGCGACCAGCTTTCAACGACATTCGTGACCAAAGGGAAATCCTGAAGCACCAGCCGAAGCTATATGCAAAAAGTCGGAAGATCTCCATGGATGGCCGATTTTAGGAATCGAGTCGATTGCAAGAAATGCTGAGATCCACGGTAGATGTGAAACAAGAGTTGTATAGAAAAATTGAAGAAACTGTTGTCGTGAATATTGTGAAGCTCTTAAAACATTTTCCATCTGGCTTTTATCTGATTGGTTAACTGGGTTTTTCTCCTGAAATCCCGAAAAACAAATGCCATGCCATGGCTGTCGGAGATGGATTAGGGATGGTTTAGCATATGGCCAGTAGGCTCTTCCATGAGGGTGGAGAAATCTGCTGTAGGTATTTAGTTGTAATTCGGATGGAAATATCTCTATTCGGATTGAGTGGCACCCTATGGGTGAGGAACGATTGAATGTACATCACAGTTCTACACTCTACACTCAGAATCTGATTTGGCTCCAATCACGGGGATGTAAACCGTTATTTTACTCAAAAAGAGCAAGAACTCAACACTTTGCAGGTCACAAAATCAGGTTTCTCGTTGGTATGGCAGCCAACAGACGCGTCGACATCAGCGTCAATCGTCAAATTTCCATTTGAGCGGAAAGCATCTAAGGTTTGATGCAGACATTCTCTTCGAAAACGTATACAACTTATTGCGTGTTTGGACACATCTTTGCAGGACCTACTGGTAGAGCTGGAGATTTTCGACAAGATGTTCTTACAACGAAAGGATGTGATTCGATTAGTTGGCAAAGCGTCACTCGATCAAGTGGGTTACAGCTAAATGATCGGGGTTGAGAAGTAACTTTCAAATGAACTCAATCACAGCGTATTTTTTGTATGTTCTATTAATGAGCCCCTTCCAGTTTGAGTTTGAATTTGTATGGTGAAATCAAATACCACTCTGAATTCGGTCCAGTGATGCAGTTGAGAAAATGGTTAGCTTATTGGAAATAATCTAGCGAAGTACTAATTTAATATTTTCGTTCTGAAAATCATTTGAGACAGAGATTTGCTTCATGATGATGGGCTTTTCTCCTATCTCTGAGCAAGTGTATTTATCCTGGTTTTATCGCTTTCTCTAGGGATGCTGATTGAGACATGTCGTCTTGACGACACATTTGCTCGAGGTTAGGATAATTGGGGAATGAATAACAGATTTCGCCCTAGCATTTGTGCGGCAACAGCGTGACATTAACCACGTCATCCCAGCAATGCTTTCTGGATTTATTTGTTTTTTACCTTGTATGACCCGACACCGCATATTATGCTAATCCAGGCACTTCTTTCACTCTTTACCTGCTGCCTTTTGCTCGTCATTCATAGTGATCTTCGAATTTGCGTCTGGGGTAGGCTCCCAGTTGAGTACTACGACTCTGATTGTTTTTTCCTTCAGTTCTAGTGGAATTGATTGTCTTTATAGACATAGGATAATAGAACGAGATATATAGCAATGGGTTCCCTGGTTTTCACCGCGGGTGGTCGCAAACCTTTTTTTTGGTAAAACCGAGCTTTCTCATACCAATGTCATAGCAATTTGCCGAACGCTTTTGATGGAGGCTTAGTTTATCTTTTGCCGCGAGGTGAAACCAGCAATTGTGTATGTGCTGTTGCACGGTATGTCTAAGCACTGAACTTCCTGCATTTGAATTATGCACCTATTACAGCTTTTGCCACCAATGAATTCGAAATCGGCACATAATGTGGCTGAAGTGTGCCTCCGATCCAAGGATATAGACAAGGAAATGACAGCAAAAGTGACGGTTACTACCAGGTGAGGGATAGCTCCACTATCTAGATTTGAATCAAATTTCGAATGTATGTAATGAATTTTCAGTTTTAGATTTCGTTTTTCCTGCTTCTTATTTTTTTCCTTCAGTTAAAAAAAACGCCTGGTCATGGATGGATCCATATCTATTTTTCTTGCACAATCTGGAATCTTATTATGTCTCTACATCTAGTAGTGTACAGAACCCATCAATACTTGCATTCGACTCGCCTCACGTATAGCACACACTAAGGTCTTCGGATTTGCGTGTGTATTTGTTTGCTGCTAGCAAATTTGTGGTCTTCATTATCAATGTCGTTGAACGGTGGTCGACGTCGATAAATCGACTAACTATTTAGATAGACTAGACTACTCAAGGAAAGCATCATATCTCTTCACATCATTCAATGTTCCGTTCACTTCTCATTATTCCAAGCAATGAGCTGTGCCTGGTAGCATTCCTGGTGGCGTGCCTGATGGTTAAGAAGGAATTTGAATGCAGGGCAAACACCCGGCCATTGTATCGAGTATTTTATAATACAATAAGTATATGCAAAGAATAATAAATACGGTCCTTTGGCTTATACAAGAGATGTCCTCCCAACGGTATACCGCCTCATCCTGGCTGGGTAGGTGTTCTTGGGTGTCGGACTGCGATCTACAGCGGGGGGATTCGTCCCCCGCAGCTTTCCCCAGAAGAGTCTCCCAAGCTGAGAAGGAATCCAGCGTTTCCATCAAGAAGCCTAGCTAAGAGTAAACCTGAACTAGGATCCGCCACCGTCCTGGTATCAAAGTCGCATGGTGGTAAATCTCCCTCTGATCCACAAGGGCTGCGACTGCCTGTCGTGGTGAAGACCTGGGGCAGACTTTGGCTAGGCTGACGTCGAGATTCCAGAGAACCACAATGGCTTAACCAGCAAATCTCCGATAAATGGTGATTATGATGGGGCCCGCACAACCAGTGAGGGCGGGCCATTCGAGTGTCAAGTGTCAAGTGTCAAGTGTCATATACAGGAGATGTTAAGATGGAAGATAAAGAATATTTCACCAGAAATATTCTCTATGGTCGCTTGTCCGTTTTCAATCACTGTCAGTCAACAGTTTTTGGGTTGAAGCGGGGCGAGCTGATCTCGAACAAGTGTGGTTGGCACCAATTTCCTGATCTCCGAAAGATGATTTGATGGGCTCGGATCGAGAACCACCCAACATCTTGCGTATTGAGCGTATTCACTACCGCCCTTTTATTGGTCCAGTATTTATTACCACATTGAATATGACGATTTTGAGTTTTTTCTTTTGCTACATCTGATGTGAAGCTGAGCAGAAGCATCCAGTTCTGTTTGCCCATCTGTTCGTTTGCGACATGAATTATCTTTGACATGTTAGGAAAAAAAACTAGCTGCACATGCGAAGACAGCGTGGTAATGTGGTCAGGAGAATGGGATATTTCACATTCATCTAGTTATTTGCTAATGAGGTTGAAATTCATACTATCAGTGGTGTGCTGGTGTTCCTATGCCGCTACCTAACTCAACGTGAGAACGCCGAGCACAATGCGTTGTCGCAGTGGAGAAATTCAGTGTGGTTCAGAAGGAAATAAACGTAATTGGATATACTGCAGTGTTTAGTGCTAGTAGCAGCAACAAAATTGAAGAAATATTAAAGGAAACTTCACGGGTATTGTGTAACTCGCACTTAACCCATTTGCAGTGGATTCAAAGGAGGTGCGAATTTGGATGTGATCGTTCCAAAGGTTTATCGGTGGGAGCAATGGACAAATGAGTGTTTTTTCTCATATCTGATAACAGTTAACTGACTCGGTGACGTGAAGGGGTTCGTTGCCTTAAGCATGAATTTAAGTTGGTGGCAATAGCGTTGCATTAGCACCTAAGCGAACAGCGTTGAGGAAGCAGAAGTGTTGGTAAAAAACCGTTTAGTACAAAACTATTTAAACATTAGAACTATGGCGAATTTTCTTTTAGTGTGACGTTGAACCGCGAGCTGCAGTTGATAGCTGGTGATTTCATGGAGCATCAGCTGCAATCTGACTCGCACCTTTCCTACCTGTGTCAGTGCGCGTCACTGAATCGTAGCGCTCTCACTCCGTCAACCACCATCCACATCGCCACACACAGGTAATCAGTCGTTTCAGCAATTCCATAACATTCACCGATGTTAATCGAGGGCATACATTTATGTCGTGACGGTAAAATGAGGGGCAAAACTTTCGGGGCTACAATTTCAATCCCTGAGAGATTCGCCATGCATTAGGCTTCGTCAAATATAGTAGAAGCATAAGTTGTTGTTGTTGTTGCTTGTTGTCGATGTTGTTCTTGATCGATGGCTGACGTTTCGGCGATTTCGCCTTCCTCAGAGCCGCGCTTTTACGAGTAGAACCCACCAACAATGAAAAGTTATACCAATCTCACATCAGCTCAACAAGATAAGTTCATAAGGACGTGTATATAAATATATCGACTATTGCCGTGGTTTGTTGAAAGTCGGTCTTTTGAGTTATAGCAGAGGCATTTGGATGCATATCTGACATATACAACTTGCGGAGGCCTATCAGTCTCTTAATTTAATGGTCTCTTCCTCTGAGACAGATATCGTACCCATTTTGCCAACTCCAGAGCTGTAAACGGCTTGTCCAGCCCAGGGTTTTAGGTTGAAACGGTGACCGATCTAGAAATGGGACTCTAATGCTAACCACTGAGCTATACGTCGTACTTTGTTTTGGCATTAATGGTTGTTGCTAATTGTAAGCGCCAATGTGGGGTTTTTACTTTTTCCTTGAATTTCGCCATAAAGCTTTGACGAGCACAACGTATAGTTTAGTGGAAGTTAATAGTTCTTTGAGAATCCTTTATGGCGTGTAGAATTTGAATATAGTATTTCGTGACTCAGTTGTGCACAAAAATCATCTTCAGTGTGGTGGATACGCGAGATGGTGCCAAGTACACTGTGCAAGTGGCACACTCGGCCGCTCTGCTGCTGTCGATGATCCTGGTCTACGGGAGGGAGCAGCGGCTACTGGTAATGGCCCATCTGATAGGCGCTGACTCACTGCCTAGTCGAGATCAACTCGACAATAACTTGGTGCGTTTCTCTCATGCAGTGATTTGAGACTGAGGTGTCATTCTTCCAACTCATCCAACCTTTTGTTTTTTTGTTCTGTTGGCTTCATTTTAGAGCTTTCTTTTGTTAAAAAACGCTTATTTTACTTTAAGAACGAAAACGATTAACTGTGGGGATCATACACTTCAAATTTTTTTATGAAATGGCCAAGTTGCCAAAATTAATGGCGATTTCATGCTATCCCTAAACTAAGAATTCTTCAGCAATTTTTGCCGCACATATCGAATGCTGATGAGCGAGCGTTTGTGATAGTGAACAAAGACGGCGACTATGCTATCCTCAAGGGCAGATGGACGGGTTTCTCCAGGAAGCAGGCTAGTTCCCAATGGTTTATTAGTGTGGGAAACCGATTTACTATGATAAGAGGTAGCCCAAATATTAAGTCTCTGACCTTCACTTTACACTCGGATATTGTTTTTAATTATGAAGTGTAAAGGAGAAATTTTGGAAATTGATTGTTAATTTATGCTAATTTACAATTTGAAATCAACAGAATCGCACCGCAATAATGTATTTAATAGCTTGGACTATTTTAGCCTGCGACAAAAGGGCAGAAGGCTAAGCCTGGTTCAGCTGGTCACCTGCTCATCGACGTGTTCAATCTGCTAAAGAATACAGTGCAAAAAATTGAAGTCCCCACACCAGAGGGGTCAACATTATTTGTTATTGGAGGTAAAATCCTATGTTTCATGCTACCAATAACACAACGATTTATTAAGAAAGACTGGAGCTTTTTTAATTTCGTTTTTTAAATCAGGAGCTGTGTTGTCCACATTTGTTTATTGTTGCGGTAGAAAGTTTTCAAGCATGGAAGGGAGACGCACCCGTCCTAGTCTGCTTTATATATATTCTGAAAAATATATATTATCATGCGACATAAATTATGTGGTCCACTCAAGTGCACTTTCCTTCCAACACCACTGTGGCATTGGTAGACGTGACAATGCTAGAATGGTTCTCGTCATATTTATTCTATTTTTAAGTCGAAACTTCTAAGGGAAAGTTTACTGATCTATGAAGTCTTTTGATTTCCGCTGAAGGTGTAAGTCCTATTCGATATTGGATCTTTTTGTCCCAAAAAATTGCGTCCGAATCAGGTTGTTGAGACTTTTTCGTCTAGTATTTGATGAATTACCTCTAGTGGATGGTGGTGAGTCCAGTCTTTGGGATAAAGTGCCTTTCTCGTCACGGACTCACGTTATGTTTTAATTTTTTTTACTGTGTATTCTTTTCTTACGATATGAAGAGCCACTATAAGGACACTCAAATATGAGCGAAACTCGGAACTTTAATTAGGCTCCTAACCCTCTATTACCCTTATCGTACGCTCAAATGCTATCTACCACAACAACCGAGACCTTGTTTTCTCTTTCTATAGGCAATGTCTTTACTTTATCGGTGCTTATGCTTCCCAGATTATTCCTGTTGACAGATAGTTGCTGATGACATCGATATAGTAAAAAACTGGCTGAGAGAAAAAGAAAGAAAAGGCCTCGGTTGGCGCGGTGTATAACACGTCAACGAGGTTTCGAGTTTTGCTCATATCTCAGCTTTCCAATTGTTGGTACTTTACCTGCGTTCCCTCGGCAGAAACGCTTTGGACTAAAGTCAGCATAAAAGATCATCTGTATCACCTGTCGTCCCGTTGATCGTTGAGTGACTCGAGATGGAGCGAGTAAATCTTACACTGCTTCTTGTGGCATACAAAAGTAGTCCGGTGGGTTCCGGTTTCTCGATGACTCGTTGAGCATAATATTTTTCTTTCAGAGTTTTTGTAAAGAACTCTGAGCATCGATCGTGTACGTGGCTTGGCTGCTCCACGTTTGATATCCTGAAGATTCCAGTCACCAACGGCTCTTGTCCGTCGGTTGTCGTTCATAGGCATTACATGTCCATCCCATCTTTTCCTCGGCAGTCTGGTGTATAGAACGACGCATTTCATATTTGATTGCTGAAGTATTTCGAAACTCTTTCCTAACACTCGTGATACCGGTTACGCTTAGCATCGTCCGTTCGACTGCGCGTTCTATAATGTTGAGTGGTCTTCTATCTTGCTTACGTAGCGACCAAGTTCTGACACCTACGTTAACGCAGGGAGAATCATAGAGTAAAAAAGGTGGGCACGGAGTCGAGTGTTCCCTGTTTCGCTTGCATGCTCAGGTTTGGAGCTAAATCGTTCATCATATCGATTACTCGACCTAGATGGAAGTAACTAGAGCATTCGAAGATATTTGTGCCGTTGGGAGTAAAAGCCGCCTGCGAAATCAATCCGTTTTCCATGGAAACTGTTTTTATGAGGTTCAGTCGAACACAGATCTTTCTAAAGGCTTTATCAAAGTCAGCAAGCGTTCGTTCCACTTAGCTAATGTTTAATATTAAAAGAACGATGTCATCACCAAAGCGAAGATGTTGTTATTGCCGACCAATGATTTTCACTCATATTTTGTCCCAATCCAATGTTCGTATAACGTGCTCGAAAATGGCGGCGAATAATTTTATTGCGACGATATTGTCTTGCCTAACCCGTCTTCAGTGTCGATGTTCATAAGGTTATATAATGGTGATATTTTAGTCGTCAAATTTTCACGTAGCTCACGAAGAAACTTTGTATACCGAATAAGGGCCTCCCTGGCTGTTCAAGGCTTCACTAGCTGCTTCTATCTCAGCTGAGTGAAAGGCTTTTCTTAAATCGATGAAAGTGAGACAGAGAGGTCTTTTATACTCTCGTAGTGTTACTGAGGATATCGCAGTAGTAATCCGGAATGATCTTCTACATTGCCTTCATGGAAACTTACTATTCCGTCCGGGCGTCATGATACAATCATCTTACTTACTTGATACTTGAACGGTCCATCCTCACTGGTTGTGCGGTCTCCAGCATAATCACCATTTTTCGGAGATTTACCGGTTAAACCATTGTGATTCTCTGGAATCCCGAGGTCAGCCTGGCCATGGCCTGCCGTATTTCTTTACCATCACAGGCAGTCGCAGCCCTTGTGGATCAGAGGGAGATTTGCCACCATGCGACTTTGATACCAGGACGGTGGTGGATCCTGGTATTGGTTTACTCTTAGTTAGGCTTCCTGATGGAAACAGCGGTCATCTCAGCTTGCGAGACCCTGCTTAGGGGATGAATCTTCCACTGTACATCGCAGTCCGACACCCAGGAACACCTCCCAGCCGCGATGAGGCACTGAACCGTTGGGAGGAGTGCAACCATCTTGGTTTTGTAACTAAGGAATTTTCGGTGATCTTTACGAATGATTTCCCTAACCTCTGCTGCTTCGAGTGTAACTGCTGCTCTTCTATCTTTAACATTTTATTTTGTCGCCTGCCCGCACTGTTTTGCAAGTTCGCACGTGAGTTTGCAGTTGACTGCAGCTCTTGCGATTCCAGCGTACCACTCGAAGTGTTTCTGAAGAATGACGTCTTCTGATGCACTTCGAACTCTCAACTTTCGTAGCACTAACGTGAAGATGACGAATGAGCCGATCATATTCCTCGTGGATGTTATCAAGAACGGCATCTTTCCAGCAGCTGAACTGAATGAGTCCCAGTTTATGGTTATTTTGAGACTTCGTTTTTTTGAATTCAGCGGCTTTTTCTGCTTTATACGAAAAATGAATTCTTGCAAAAAGAAGGCGATGGTCGGACCCCGTGTAAAACTTGGGATAGTATTCGACATCGGTCAAGCAAAATCTTCGATTTAACATGCTGTGGTCTATTTCGTTATCCTACTCTACACTGGGAGACTCCCACGTCCAGCGTTGAGTGTGGGGCTTCTGGAATTGCGACTTACCATGGATGATGGTCTTGGTCGCCATGATAAACTCTGATAGCCGCTCACCCTGTTCGTTCCATTTTAATCCACGTGTCCCAATGTGCCATCCTTTAGATTCTCTTCTTCGTCCAGGCTTAGAGTTAAAATCTCCAATGGTGACCTCAAGGAATGGATGGTGTTCTCTGTAGAACTTCTTCAAATCTACATGGAAAGCTTAGACGTCGTTTTTTCACTGCTTGGTGTCAACCAATTCGACGACTTCGCACCTTATCCTTCTTGCCTACGTAATCAAGTCCTCTATTGTGGATTCCGATAACTCAAGTGAAGCTGCATTGTAGGTTGTGATCGTCACTTTAGTCTTTTGCGGTTTAGGCAGCCTGGAATGAGTCTGAGATTTTAGCAGCCTCACCGTAGTCGAGTATAAGGGGTACAGTATTTTCTTATACGAATAAGTAGCATTGTATCAATTGCACTTCTCATGCAAAACTTCGGCATTCGAAGAAACCTATCACGATGATCACCGCCGAGTAAGACGGTAGTGATCATGCCAAATGTTTAAATTTAACGCTCTGCGCTTTGGGAACATTTATACACCTTGAGAGAAGCAGTAAAGGAATATTTTTTCAGTGCAGGGTTTGTTACAGTTTTCATTAGTGCAAAATATCAATGGAATAGAATTCTCTGCCTAAATTTGGAACTATCGAAGAGAACTGTGCTGTGAGAACCAAAGTTGTCATTTTAAAGTGAACACTGCTTCTCCTATTCTTTTTTGGATACGTCAGTTACGACCCTTAAATGGAGCGTTTATTTTTGTGCGGTGATGATGATCTCGTTTATTACGCTGACGACACAGCCTGCCTTGGCAATACGTCGATCCGGTCCCTCGTCCACCAAGTCTCTCACCTCTCCGGTGTGGCGAAATTGGAATTAGGACCTTAATGTCCTTGCATGGTACTTAGATGACCTGTCTTGATTTGCCCTTCATTCCCGTGAATACAGTGTTTTGTACAACTAAGATGTGACCAAGAACGATATTATGACATATATACGTTTTATCTTGGCTACTAAATTTGTAAGATTTGCACATTCATCTTATCTGCGTTCGAAGTTGAACCTCATTCGGCCTCAATCTTCATGAGACAAAAAATTTTGTATTTTTTAAAGCTTCTATGCAGCATCTGTATTCAGGTATAGTTGGAGTGATTTCTAATATTTGTCGTTGCAAAAAGACTCATGAATCTTTGGGTGAAAAGTGGGAGTAAAATAAAGTATTGTTTTTACTGCTTCTTTCATTCAGACGCACAAGCACGATTACCTGGAAAGCGAATCGAGTGCCGGTCGACGAACACTGCCGAGCAGATAGCGTCTGTGTTCTGTGTGGCCACACTATTCGTCCTCTGCAATCCCGATAAGGTACATTTTAACTCGTGCCAGATCATGAACAATGGTTACATGCGTTTATGGCTATCTTGTAGTACTACCGTGGGAAGCATTATAGGTAGTGGAGCGCAGTTACATAGAGGTTTTCTCTCGAACCCGTGTCGTAATGCTCACCTACATACTGGATAATTTCAATAGACACTGTTAATTACGATAACTGAAGCCATAGAGTAAAGTCATATCTTTTTTAACAACATTAGTGGCAGTTATAAGTTTCCTCTTTATTTCACCTGGAAATCAGTTATTGGAAAAGTTTACTATTATAAGTAACTACGAAGCTAATTTTGGATGCATATGAAAAATCTGGTTTTCATCTTTATTTCAGAACTTACACGGAAGAACAAATTTCTTTGAGGATCTTGCGAGATCTTGCACTAGAATCGCTCAACTTTATGCTAAGGAAACATGTCTTTAAATTATTGAGCTAACACGAGGTTTATAAATATGTTTATTACCGCTAACGTTTCTACGTCTTCGTCTTCATTAGTGCCGGTGGTCCTTGTCGGTGGTCCACTGTTGTTCGTTATCTCGACGTGGCGTCTTCGTTGTCGTACCGAGACGGGATCTTCTTCAGTGAACACCGTACAAATGAGGCAAGCACATCTGGCAGTGTCCTTCTATACAGGGCTGTTGATGTTGATAAGACTACCCATAATGAGCCACCGACACGGGGTCATTGGCTCTGATGAAGACGAAGACGTCGAAGCGTTAGCCGAACGAAACATTTATCAACCTCGTGTACGGTCAACAATTTAAAAACATGTTGATTACTTCACTACCGAGGTTAAATGACGGTCGCTTTGAAAATTGTTCTGCTAAGAAAACAATTAAGCAAACCATGTCTTACCTTTTCATTTACCCCTATTGATGTCTCTACAATTCTCTGCTCAGCGATGCTGGTTGATAACCTTACTTTTTACGATTTTAAGTTTATCCGATTCAGATTCGATCGCGTAACGACGGCACTTCGATTGGACACCAAGCGCATAAGTGGCCTCTGACGTTGGCTTGCGGATACGGTAGGCAGTTACCGTCCAACCGAATCCTCCAGTCGCATGGCGCCAACGGTAAATGTATGCTATTATGAAAAGAGCGTAGTAGGACCTACAAAATAATCCTCGATTTCCTTACATCTTTTTCATTGGATCTTTTTATTCATATTTGACACTATAATTATGATTTGTGCTCGACTCATAACTTCCTTTTGTGTTTGAAGCAAATACTTTAAGCAACTTTTCGAAAGTTATGGGATTTTATGTATTTCACAAATTACGAGAGTCTATAGGTGCTCAAGACGGAAATTCTGATAGATTACATACAAAATGCTGATAACAAGGGAGCTTGCGTAATGAAATAGACGGTCCACCTTTAAGAATCGTTGTAATAAAAGGATAACGCACTCCGCGTTGATCAATCACTGAGGGATACGGCGTACATTCGACTTTATTAGGCATAGTTTGAAGTGATTGAATGCATATCTGGCCTCCACAATGACTCACGGTGGCCTGCCGATGTATCGAGCCAGTGCTGCCATCCTCTGGACAAGTCTGGTACCAGTTTTCCGACTCCTGAGGGATGGAAGGCTTGGTGAGCCATAGACGCGAGGATCGATCTACCAGTCATACGACTGCATTTTTACCCGTCTTGTTCTCTAGCGAGTGACGCTATGCTGTGCTGCAGTAACCTTGAGCATGTGTTGGAATAATTTTGTTATTTCATTCATAGCTGCTTTTGCAAAAAACTGAGAAGTAAAAAAAAATCAAGCAAAATTAAGTATTGACTTTTTGCGTTCTTCGTGTGGCATTAGTATGGAATGGAATGCTAGTGAGACATCTCATTTCAATTACTTTTCTGCTACTCAGACACGCTTCAGGTCTAGAGGTGGCGCCGTTGATGATGGCGATGTGCGGTTCGAGCGGCTGCGACGGCGCCGCGTGCGGCGCCTGTGGCGCCTGTGGCGCCTGCGGGGCCTGTGGAGGCTGCGGTGGCTGCGGCGGTTGCGGCGGATGCGGTGGATGCGGCTAGCGTTGTCCACAACAGACGGATATTCCCATGGTTCCATTATGATTGTCTGGGTGGTCTACGAATGTCTACACATTCTGTTCGCTTCTGCTCGTTCAGCACTGCCCACACTTTCGTCTTCCTTCTCTTCGCACACGTATTTGATATGTATTGATTTTCCCGGTTTCTTCTCAGCGCCACGCATTCCTTGAACGAACTGAGATGTGCGTAGGATTTAAATTTTGTAATATATTTAATGCCATAGAAGTGGTAGAATCATCATTGAATTTTCGGCGAATTCTTGTGGAAATGTTCGCAGGTGTTTTAGAAATGTTTTATCGCTGTGACTACTACCATGTTGTTTTTCTTTATCGTCTCTTTATTGTTGTGTTGTTCAACGGTTCTGAGTCACATAGGATTGTTGTATTCTAGTGAAATGAAAATATTCGATATTTCCACATGACGCGACATCACATTTTATGCGCATACCAAAACTTCTTGCATTGGATTCACTAAGTCGCATAACACGAAAGTCTTCGAATTTGCGTATGGGTTCGACTCTGCTAAGTATTGTCGCCTTCTTTATGAATGTCGTTTGATGCTGATAGAGTCGATTCTCATTGAAATCTTGGAACAGTCATGCTAGAGTGTTCTCACGTGGACTATAAAGAGTGAGATGGCCCCAGATCAGTCCGGTACCAAATTCCCAGCACTGGAGATGGAAGGCTTGATGTGGCTAGTGCGTTATCAAACCAGAATATAGATTGTATGAATAGTACCACTACCAGTGCGTTGCTTGATATCCTTATTATACATTGTGATGGAAAAATATGCCTTAGCGATCATTAACAATGTTCTCGAGGTATATCAAAAACCCAGTTGCTTAACCACATTCCAGCCCACCTCACAAACACCCAAATGTTCCTGGAACGTCTACGTAACGCGTCCCCCAATAACGCGTACGTGATGGAGTCTTTCGACGTTACCGCACTCTACACCAACGTATCGAATGACTCCGCAATGCAAGCCATCTTCGAACTTCTTGTTGAACATGAAGGAAGAATAAATATGCATGGCTTGTCCATCCAGCAGCTAATGGCTCTCTTAAAGGAGTGCCTAAACTGCTCGATCTTCAGATGGTCTGGGAAATATTTCGCGCAAATAAGGGGGTTGGCAATGGGACAACGATTGGCACCAAGCCTGGCCATTGTGTTTATGTCTAAGATAGAAGCCCCTGTTCTCGATCTCCGGCCACTACTCTACTGCAGATATGTAGATGATTGTTTTGTCGTCTTCTCTACGCAGGAGGAGATGGACAAATGCTTCGAATTATTAAACGAGCAGTCCGAGTACATAAAGTTCACCCGGGAGAAACCGAGAGAAAACTGGCTTCCGTTTTTGGNCTACTCTACGTCGCCAATTAGTTCGCAACCGCCTGTATGACCGTCTGTGTGAAACAACAAATTGCGTAATTTGCCCTTACGGCAGGGACGGTGATTGCATGAGTTCAGGTACGATATACCTGATCTCGTGTAACAATTGCGGAGATGAATATATTGGCGAAACGGGCAGACCTTTGTGTATCCGTATAAAAGAACACCTAGATGGCAAACGAAAACTAAGACGAAGCACCCCACTAGGCACGCATAGGATACAAAAGCATAGCGGAGACGATTTTGAAGTGAAAGTCAATATCCTTGCACAGGAGTCCAAAACACCAGCGCGAAAACTCCTTGAGGCTTTTTGGATCAATGCCAAAAGCCCTACAATGAATAGCAGGGACGAATGCCCGGAGATCATACGCGACCTGATCTCGTACGTTCGCATCGATTTTTGATGTAGGATGGTGCAGTCGTCAACCACATGCGACTATAATCAGCTGTTCTAAACTTCCTCATTGGAAGTCACGAAAAAGCGGTGGGTTTTTTCGAGAAGTTGTTGATCGTGTAATTACCAAAGAGTCTTTCGTCTTTGTGTAAGTGTTATTGAAGCGTTTGGCCTAGTAGATTGTATATCAGTATACCCTTCCAGGCTCTGAAGAAGGCGATACTGCCGAAACGTCAGCTAGCGTTGTATTGTATTGTGTTTTTATGGAAGTAAATGTATGCTGTTTAAAAACCTCGCGATTGCTGAGCAAGAAAACGACACATTCATATATCAAAAACATTCACCTGAAAGCCTTCTTCGTGGTAAGGATATGAGCCTACGGAAATTATGTGAACTAGAATAAACCCTTCATTTTAAATGAAGTGCAATTTTACTTCTTTTATCGGAACAAAGTTTTAGCACTTTTCTGGAAATTTCGGCGCCGACTTGGCTATTTACGAATGTCCCGCAAGTTAGTTTTCTAAGTTCTTCACAACAAGTCCATTCACTTGTTGAGATCAGTATGACGACTGAGTTTCGTACAGAAATCCCATTAGCTTCTAGACTTTTGGTCTATACAGGAGTTAGCCTGCAGGACGATGACAGACTATGTATGCTGTGTTATTGTCATATAAGCTAATTGTTCCTTTTTTGGCTTTTCAACGATAGCGGTAAGCGTTACCGTTATTGCTGCCTTTGGTTGTTTTCGCTATGGTGCTTCTCTTCTATATTAGCTTCAACTTTCATTTTTTCCAGTTTCAAGATGTGCTAGTGGGTAATTGTAAGCATCGATCACGAAACAGTCACTTTGTATAACGCGAGAGCAAGGTTGATACTGGTCTATGTTTCGGTTTCTTTCCTCAATTTTGCCCAGAGAACTCGCTTCTTCAGTACTTTTCCTTCGTGTTTGTCTAATTTTATACAGAACTTGTTTGTCCATGTGAAGACTCCATTGGTCGCAAATCTTACATTTCAAGAAATGATTTGTTTTTACAACCACAACGATGCTGGGATGTTCGCGAAACTTGGTTCCTGGGCCATACCGAACCACGATTTCCGTTTCCGGGGCTCACGCATCACACACTGCGCCACGGAAGCCCTTGACCTGCGTTTTTTCGACTAGTTTTCTATCTACTAGTGCCATTAGCAATCGCTCATCAAAGGGATTGATCTGGTAGCCCAAATCGGCATTGAACTCAGCCAAGCTAAGGCTATAGTCGAAATCACAACATCGACCTCTTTATTTATTGTTTGTTACAATTTTTCACGACGAGTTTTAAGTGTGATACAGGTACGATGATGCGGAGATATTTGCTAAACCCCGGACCGCAGGTGACTGCTGTGGCAAGCGAACGCGCTATTATGCTTTGCGGGGACTAACGCGTTCACCACTACACCATGCGGGTCGTTCGTTTCACCTATCTCTCTGCTAGCTTTCTATTTCCCAGTGCTATCAGCAATCACCCGTTAACGGGATTGAGCTGGGGAGTCCACATTGGCATTGAACCCAGTTAAGCTGAGGCTATAGTCGAAATCACAATGTTATTTTTTGGCACTAGTAGATAGAAAACTAGCTGAGAGAAGCGCAGAGCAATGGCATCCGTGGCGCTGCGTGTAATGTCCAAGTCACAAAAAGTGAAATCATGGTTTCATCTGGTCCAGGGTCCAAGTTTTGCGAATATCTCATCGTTATTGTGGTAATTGTAATTTGTAATTTGTAATTTGTTTTTTTGTATAAAATAAACCTCGAAAAATGTTTCATAGCAACTTTTTACTATTTTTCTCTATATTATAATTCATTTGAAAAATAATTTCCGAGTATTCGCCCTTCCTATTCGCTTAACTTTCTCGGAATTTCTTCCATGTTCGTGCCTAACCCTCCTGTGAGTTCTTGAACCGTCAAAAGTGTCAATCCTATCCTAGATAACAAGTCGTCTTCGTCGGTGGTAACTGCATTATTGACTATCCTTGTCGTTTTCAAGCCTTTCACTTCCATCTTGGAACTACCTGAAACAATGCGCCAACATATTAAATGATGTGCCGATCAATACAGGACCCGTTACCAGTCCAAAGTAGATCGTACTAAAGATGGGAATCAACTAACACCTGTCCTCTGTGAAAGCGCATCGCCGAGTGAAGTTTTCCATTCGAGCGGTGCTTCCTCCATTGAATTTGACTGTGTACGAGTGTACGACAACGACCATTTGTTGACCATCGAAT